TCTATCTATCTATCTATCTATCTATCTATCTATCTATCTATCTATCTGAAATACCACTCACGCATCATCACAAAATCTCCAGAACCATAAAGCCTACAAACTTGTGAATTCTATTACTGTATATCTGTATCTAGATCTCTATATTATCTATCTCTATCTCACTTTAACTTTTAATATGTAGTCCTCAACTAACGATCACAGTTGAGGCCAACATTTCTGTTGCTAAGTTGCTAAGTGAGCATGGAGAGCAGAGAGGAGGCGGGAACAGCCAAGAGAGAGAGAGAGAGAGAGAGAGAGAGGGAGGGACAGAGAGAGGGAGAGAGAGAGTGAGAGAGATCACTTTGCTCTGGAACTTGCCATCAACATGGGAGCATTTGGGGGAAAGCTGGAGCAATAAAGGGGCAATTTGAACTATCTGTTCTGACCAAGGCTTCCAACTCTTGTTTTATTTCAATGCTGGGAATTATTTTCATTCCCAGCCGGTAATGAGTCCCAAACAGTCCCTCAAGATAAGCACCCACCTTTATCTCCTTTGAATTGCTGCCAACAACTAAAGTACCAAATGAACTGTAAAAAGCCAAACAAAGTGCATAGTCCACACAAGATTTAAGGTTTAATCCGAATACCACGAGCAAGGTTGCTTCCTGTAAAGGTTTCTCTACCTTTGCCTGTCCTTTATACCTTATGGGAGGGGCAATCACTTCCCAGCCTTACTCCCATGTCGCCCCTTTTGTCTCAGCTGTTCTTGCCTTCTAGCAGTTCTGTGCACACCTAGGTCCTCTGCCTCGCTGCTGCCAGACTCCGAAGGCTCCAGAGTCAGCACCCCACTCCCAGATGGTCCTGGCCCCATCTCTGCACTGGACGCGGGGCCCTCGTCCGAGTCTTCTCCAGACTCCTGGACTGATCTCCGTTCTTCCCCACAGTCCGATTCCACTGCCGTCTGCACCGGCTGACGGCGAACCACAACACTATCAGCCGACTGTGTTGCCTCTGTGCCTTGCCCCGGATCATCAGTTACAACAGCACTGAAACACAGGGACAAACACAATGCTTGCAGCATCCTCACAGTCACGGGTCCAAAATATAGTAGCTTGGCAATCAGCCAAGTGCTTTAGGATGTTTGCAGCGCCCGGGGTCAGCCAGCTTCCAACAAGCCAAGTCCACGGGGAAACCTTGGGTTTGCTTAAAAGACCGCATCAATCACTTTAACCACCTACAGTGATACACTCAAGAACCGGGGGCGGGGGGGGGAAAGGATTGTAAAATGGGCATGACTCATTTAACAGCCAGCTTGGTTGGCAATGGAAATTTAGGTCCCCATTGGGGTCATACATCGAGGCCTGCCTGCAGCGATGTAAGTAGCACACACACAGAGACACAGACACAGACAGACATAACGATAGATCTGGCCGAACTTCAAAATGGCTGCTAAGCGACCAGTCGTAAGTCAAGAACTATCTGTAATAATCTTTTTTTTATTATTGTTGGGCTGCAGAACGATGCATCGCGTCGGTCTAATGCGAAACCTCCTAAAAAAAATTAAATTCTAAAAGGCGCTAGATAGAAGAGAGGGGGGGAAAAATGACTTCCAACCTCAAAACTCTTCCAGGACGAGCTTACGAACCTAAAATCGATGTGAGATGAAGTCTGCACCATGGAAGGAAAGGGAAGACGGGGGCGGGAGAGACATAGCACCGATACTCTATTACTTCTGGAAGACTAAGAACATCTCCAGGATGGCTCGGTGGTGACAGATCGCATAATCACTGGCATAATAACGTCATGCGGAGTCACGGCAAAGATCTTTCCAAAGGTCAGGTCTATCATGTGCGTAATCACAGGTGACACATAAAGTCTAAATCGACTCAAGCAGGAAACTTGCCCGAAGGAAAAAGTAGCAAAACCTGAAATATGAATTTGGCCTCTGAATGCTGGAGGCTTGCTCTGGCTGTCTACCTATAGATCTATCTGTGTCTGTCTGTCTGTCTATCTACCTATAGATCTATCTATATGTCTTTATCTATATACTATCTATATATTGTAGATGAGAGAAAAAGAGAGAGAGAGAGAGAGAGAGAGAGAGAGAGAAATTAGTTAGGAAACTGTAGGTCTATAGATTTATAGAATCAATCTACCTATCTATCTATCTATCGATCCATCGATCGATTGATCGATCTATCGGTCTTTATCTATTATCTATATATTGTAGAAGATAGATTAGATAGATACTATAGATCTATAAATTTATAGATTCTATCTATCTATCTATCTATCTATCTATCTATCTATCTATCTATCATCTATCTATCTATCTATCTATCTATCTATCTATTTATATCTATCGATCTATAGATCTATCAGTCTTTATCTATATATTATCCATATATTGTAGTAGATAGATTAGATACTATAGATCTATAGATTTATAGATTCTATCTGTCTATCGATCTATCTATCTGTCTTTATCTATCTATATATTATCTATATAATGTAGATAATAGATTAGATAAGATACTGTAGATCTATAGATTTATAGTTCTGTCTGTCTATCTATCTATCTATCTATCTATCTATCTATCTATCTATCTATCTATCTCATTTCTGAGTTCCCATCTCAAAGCAACTCATAACTCATAAATATTCATATAAGCAAGTTTGGATGTTTCTTTATCTTTCCTTTCCTTTCCTCTCCTCTCCTTTCTCCTTTCCTTTCTCCATATAAGAAAAAAAAAATCAAAAGTTCAGAAGAATTGACCTGACATATTGTACCGTTTAATTTACTTGATTGTATCTGACAGAGATCAACTTCACTTACAAAAGCAGCGGAAAGAAAATTGACCAATTCTGCTTAAAATGTCCTTGGCAT